TATATATATATATATTCTCCTCTCCTCTCCTGAACGGGCTTCCTCTGATTTCACTGCACACGGTGAGTGTCCCACAATGTGCATTAGATGCTGGCCTCGCCTTATTTTCTGGCTGGAGGACGTCCAGCATCATGTAGTTCTTTCCTCTCCAGCTTGACTGTTCCTCATTTATTCACCGGATTTCAGGAGGCATCACATATGGGCGTTACCTAGGGCAGGCGGCCCGCATGCAAATGCAATCTTCCCAGAACTCCCACTCCTTCAGCTAGACATCTACCCATCAAGGCATTTCCATATGTGCTCATTTTGGTCCCACCCCCATGTGCCGGGTCTTTGTTTATAGGCGAGGTATCACGTACCTGGTAAGAGACTGGAAGGTGAGGAGGCTTCTCTTGCGACTCGCGTCCCTCTGCCCCTGGAAGTGAGGACAGGGAGCTGACGGACAGCGAGGAGCACGAGTGCCACTGATGGGAACCGACACCGTGCAGGAGACGTCCCGATGGCGTGTAGTCCGCAAGCTGGAGGTCCACCAAGCAGATGGAAGGAGGCAGGAGCGAGGTCAGAGAAGCCAGAGGTCGGAGCCAGCCGGGCAGCAGAGTACAAAATCAGGAGGCAAAGGCAAACTCCAGAAACGGGCCAAGGTCAGGGGCAGGCAGAAATCCAAAGAGCAAAGTCCAAAACAATCCGGGTCAAGCAGGTCACAGGAACACAAGCTGAATAGACCATCAGCAAAGCAGCAAGGGCAGGCTCGTTTCTATATGGTGAGCTACATCCAATTAACTGCATCACTTCCTGTGAGGCGGCCATTTCCGTGCACTTCCGGTATGTCTGTGTGTGCGCACAATGGTGCGTTTTACAGCCACATGGAGATCTAGTTTGCGCGCATGCGCAGCCACCATCTTGCCCTTACACAAGGTCAATGATACGCTGACAATTTTACTGATGATGAACGAATGACACATTTATTTCAGCTTTGCACCATACAGTTTTAGCAGTCTGAGGTCCACAAAGGTTTATTTCTTGACCCTTTTTCATTTCTTGAAGAACGTTCCATTTAAAATCCATCGAACAGGATGGAGCAAGCCAGGGCTTTGGAGAAGGTCCATCACTGTTGTCCCATGTCCTCTGCTTATGACCTGCGAGGAGGAACTTCTGACCTGGTGGGTGATGTTATACTTCCTGGACGTTGAACCTTCTCCACACCTCATCCAAAGACCAGAGGCTCTCCAAAAGAGTCACATAGACAAGAGCCCATAAGTATGAACCTCAACACAATCAACATTCTCCATCACTATACACATTACAAAGGAACTGACCCATATATATCGTTCTTTGGACACCTTCCATAGCATTATACGGGTCTAATCTCTACCGTGGACCATGCCGGTAGGTGGTGGTTGAATTCTCCAACCTGTATCTGATTGCACTTCTATTCTCCGGCTCCTGGCGGACTACAGACATAAAAGGACTTGATGCCGGCCAATGGATATCTGGAATGTTTCAATCTTTAATGTGCTTTTGGAGGCCAGCAAGCGGACATACTGCACAGCACAAACAACTCCATGGGGAAACATCTAAAAGTCAACACTGGAGCAGCCAGCAGATGACCTACTAACAGACAGTAAACACTATGAACGTGACTCTTGGGCCAGAGATGACAATTTCTCTGATCTTTACGAAGGACCGCTCTCCACCCAAAGCCGCTCTCGCACATTGAGGATAATACTGGCTGTGGAGTCCTGATGTGTATGAGAAGGTTGAATGAAGAATCAATTGGCGTATGTAGGCGGCTTCTCACCCATAGAATGAGGACTGCTTTGAGCCACCAGTACACCGATCATGATTAAAGAGTCTCTACAGGCAAAACGTTTTTGATTTTTGTATAGAGGGGTATGAAACTCGGTCAGGTTTTCACCTCTGTACGTACATAAGGGGCACCGGATCGCCTATTATCATATCCAGTGTTATGAATGGCCGTCTCCTGTCCTGTAGGCGTAAAAGGATGTGAAAGCAAATGTCTCCAATTTGATCCGCTAGTGAGGCTGCACCCATGTACCTTAGAACCTCCGTAAGAAGGGGAGGTCCTGAGGGAGGTCTAAATATATGCGGAGCAGTGTGGGGGCCATACAATGGTCAAAGATATATAGCTATATACACCGAGTGGCCGGATTATTATATATACTAAGTGGCCGGATTATTATATACACCGAGTGGCCAGATTATTATATACACTGAGTGGCCGGATTATTATATACACTGAGTGGCCAGATTATTATGACCACCTGACGTTTGTAGGCAAATTAGCTATAATTTGGCGCTGAAGTTGCTAGAGGGCCAGACCATTATAAATAGGGAAGCAGGTTGGTTACCACGACAGTAGAAGTGATTTGTTTCTGAAGATACGGGGAAACAACGCGATGTAACAGCCTTTGAACGCGGGATGATTGTTGGCGCTCGGAGCCATGGAGCGAGTATCAGCAAAACAGCAGAATTCGTTACATGTTCAGGAGCGGCTCATTGTTAAAGTGTTTAAAGACCGGACTGTCAGCCGAAAATCTGGGTCTGAACGTGCGAATTGTGGCCGTCAGCGACTAGTCAATGTTAGGGCAGAACGGGGGAGGGGCAAGACTGGTACAAGACAACAGAAGGGCGACAGTGCCGTGTCAGATTCCTCGCATCACCTTTCATCATCTCGTAGAGTCACCAGGCGGCCCAACCAAGTACTGATGGGGGGGGGTCATAATAATCTGGCCACTCAGTGTATATTGATAGTAATACTAGAAGGTTTCGCAGTGTGGCCGCCAGCAATTCGGTACTCATTGGAGTTATTCCATTATATACTCTTTGGGGCTTGTGTGGTTCCCCTTACTGCTCCTCGCATGTTAGGTTTTTACTCTTTCAATTAGTCCTATTGACCATTGTCAATCCAACATTTTAAGGGTTATTCATTAAGCTGCCAAAGGCAGCCGGGTGATAATTGCCCAGCCGAAGTGAAGAGAGCCGAACTACGTTTTGCTATTCACTTCTGGCTCGCATGGCTGATTTCTGCCGACCGCCAGAGGACCCCCCGGCATGCCCGGCACCTCTGGGCAGTGGCCGGCCAGCTAAGTTAGGACCCCACCTGGAGCTCCTCCCGCTGGACCAGCGCTGACTCGCCGCTACTCTCCAGCACAGCGCTGACTACAACCTCGCCAGCAAGGCGCAAAAATGCACTGCCTAGACAAAAATCCATTACACCGGCCCTGCAGGTGACCCCACACAGGCAGACCAAACACGTGTGACCACACGGACCAGGCCAGTATGTTATATATAGATTGTTTTAATAAACATAGCAAACATATAGCAAACAAAGAAATATAGCAGGCACAGGATCGTCAGAGACCAGGAGCTGGGCATCAGGATCGTCAGAGACCAGGAGCTGGGCATCAGGTACAGTATCGTCAGAGACCAGGAGCTGGGCATCAGGCACAGGATAGTCAGAGACCAGGAGCTGGGCAGCAGGCACAAGATCGTCAGAGACCAGGAGCTGGGCAGCAGGCACAGGATCGTCGGAGACCAGGAGCTGGGCATCAGGCACAGGATCGTCAGAGACCAGGAGCTGGGCAGCAGGCACAGGATCGTCAGAGACCAGGAGCTGGGCAGCAGGCACAGGATCGTCAGAGACCAGGAGCTAGGCAACAGGCAGACTGAAGTGGTTGATACGTGGTTTCAGGACTTGCGGTATACTCCAAAACTATAGCGGAGGCCAGAAGGCAAGGAGTCTTAAGAAATGGCCGAGGACCCCACTTGCTTGAATGGGCAAGTCTGTCCAAAAGGTGAAGGGAACCCCTCGGGATAGCATGGAGGGCCATGGATATGGGAAGTCCCAGGGAGGAAGGGTCTTGTGCCGGCGTAGGCTGCCTTGAGGTTGCCCGTGAAGCAAGCTCGAGTGGCCCAGAAGCCGAAAAAGGCCTCGGCTCATCCAGAACATGATCGGCTGGAACAGGCACTGGATCGTCAGGAACTGGATCGGATGGAACAGGAACAGGTAAGACCGGAACCAGAGCAGGCTGAGCTGGAATGAACCCTGAGTATCCCAGATGAACATCCATAGCCTCATCCCCAGAGCAGTCACCAGAATTCTCATCCTCTGAACAATCCGTCCACTCCCCAAGATCCTCCATGTCCGGCTGAAATGGAGCCAGGAGACGCGAAGGTCCTTGCTGGGTGGCCTTAGGGACAGGCGTAGCGGACTGACCGACAGGAGCTGTTGCTATAGCAGACTGGTAGCAGCTGTCATAAGCAGGAGCAGCGACTGCTATTGTCATCGGCAACCTGGTTAAGCCTGATCGGGACCTGGAGTGGGGACTAGCCCGCATGGGCCGTAGGTCAGACCACATCAGGAGCAGGAGTTGGGCAAAGGTTTTCACACGTACCCCCTGGTCAATATGGGACTGAACCGCCTCAACGCATTTTAACAAGGCCTCTTGTGAAAACTCAGAGTAATGTTCAAAAAACCCGGCAGGATCCTCTAAGAACCACACTAGTGACACAACCTGTGACAGGGTATACGGATGGGGAGAAGTCATCACCCTCATCACCTCTTAGAGCAAGTTCGGTACAAATCTGGATTAGGGGTTGGATATCCCCAAAAGGACAACCAGTTATAGCCATGAAACAATGAAACCTGGAGGCGCTCTGGATCCTAACAACAGGATTATACCAGAGCTTAGTTCTCCTCGGACTTAGAATGAGTTGCCTTCTACTGAATTGGATTGTTTGGACACTTATCTAGATCCATGGAAACCCATATGAAGGTCCCACAGACTCTAAACCTTTGTGAAGGTCACTCTACCTTGCATCATTGCTTCTACAAAAAGCAGCCGGAGGCCCTGTCAGGATATAAAATAGGTTAACTAACTTTATCTCAAAGGAGCCTGAAGGCTTTGACACTGCAAACGTGTTCTTGAAGGTGCATGTCCCAGGGCCACCATCCTCTCTTCCCCAATTGTGTGGGTCACTGACCTAGAACTAGATTCTTGGGCAACCCCATATGGGCATGCTTGTTTCAGGACATTGACTTATCAGTAAGGAAGGATGATGAGTCTGGAGCACCTTCATAATGTTTCATACACTATATGGCCAAAAGTAGGTGGACAGTCCTTCCAAATGATTGAGTTTAGATGGTTCCAGGGAAGGTTCTGTTCAAACTAAACCATACAAAGACATTTTAGACAATTGTGCTCTTCCAGTGTGGTAAAGGCCCCTTTTCTATTCCAGACATGAGTTGACCAGTTTGATGTGAAGAAACTTGAGTGACCTGCACCCAGCCCTGACCTCAACCCCACTGACCATCTCTGGGATGGACAAGGCTGGACTTCTTTTCTTCTCATATAACATAAGTACCTGACCTTCGGCTAAATGGGCACAACATTCCTCAGACACGCTCCGAAATCTCATATGAAGCCTTCACAGATAAATGGAGGGTGTTATAGTTGTAATGGGGGTCACCTCCATGGTTTTGGAATGGGATGGACAACAAGCTCATACAGGTGTGATGGTCAGAGGTCTACAAATTGTTGGCCATATAGTGTGCCATACACATAAACAAAACATTGGCAGGAATACCATTATTACATGAAGCTGATAGTGTTTGCGTGTATATAAAAATAAGACTTGTATATGATCTATAATGGACTTTCCGACTTCCTTCTGAACCAGACTAAGCTCAGCCATGTCCTTCAACATCAACTTGGAGCTTGTTCAGAAAGGGTTTCCTCTCCTCGCGTCTCTTGCTCTCTTTGAAGTATGATGCAATAAAGTGTCCATCTTCCTAAAGTGGTATCTAGAGTTTGGTAGATGATTGATCGATAAGCCGTATTATCGCCCCGATGGGTGAGATCTCTGGACTTGAGCTCCCAGGTCACCATACCTGGTGATTTGAAAGGTTGGTGCCTTTTTGTGCGTCCCCCCCAATCTGAACTCTTCACCAGCGAAGATGTCCCAAAAGGCTATAGTGTTCTTTTCTGAGAAGCATCTGCCCCAATTGGACATCAAAAAAAGTGTGATTCACCAGTGTGGGATCTTTGATGCGGAAGGAGATCCGTTTTTGTGGTGAATGATTTCTCGTACCCTGGGTGCCCCAGTGGTTGACCTCACCGGTGCGTCAGAAGTTCAATAGATCAAATAGCTTTTCACCAGTGTGGGCTTTGAAGGACCATCCACCACACCCTGACAGGAACCTCTCCGTTGTATAACCAAGTCTGGTTCTGTTGTGGCCGATGTCCCACACCCTTGGCATGAAAAGATCTCAAGCATTTAAACTCTGCTGTATATGAAAGTCAGATGCAATTTGCAAAGATTGGCCAAATGCCGAATAAGCCAAAGAGTGGTCACTTTGGTGAGTTTTGAGATGTCGGACTGGGCAGAATTTCTGGGTGAAGCATTTCCCGCACTCTGGACAGGAAAACATGGGTCCTCTGGTGTTTGGCCAGTTTGTCTTTCTGCGTGAAACCTTTCTCGCAGTCCGTGCACTTAAACGGCATTTCACCAGTGTGGGTCCGCTGGTGTGCGATGAGCCCGTTCTTCTGCCTAAAAGCTTTACCGCACTCTGTACACATGAACAGCTTTTCGCCCGTGTGGAGTTGCCGGTGTCTGTTGAGGGAATTCTTCGCAGGAAAACATTTCCCGCATTCTGAGCAGGAGAACGGAGTCTCACCCGTGTGCACCCGAATGTGTCTGCGCAAGTGGGTGGACAGCTTAAAACGCTGGCCGCACTCTAAGCACAAATAGGGCCTCTCGCCAGTGTGGTTTCTTAGGTGCTTGATACGGTCCGAATTGTCTTTAAAGGCCATCCCACACTCTGAGCAGGTATAAGGCCGGACGCCAGTGTGAAGTCGCTGATGCTTAACGAGGTCCCATTTGATTGTAAAAGATTTCTCACACTCTGTACAGGAGTAGGGCCGAACCCCGGTGTGGTGTCTTTGATGCTTGACGAGATCAGAAGTCGATATGAAACTTTTCCCACACTCTGAACATGAATACGGACGTTCCCCTGTGTGCATCCTCTGATGTAAGGTTAGATGCCACTTCGATTGAAAACACTTGGTGCATTCCGAGCAAGAATACGGTCGCACTCCAGCGTGGAACCCTTGATGTCTAGCAAGATGTGATCTCCATTTAAAGCATTTTCCGCACTCCAGACATGGAAACAACTGCCCCCCGGACCCTCGGGGTGCTCTCTGACATACAAAAAGATCTGTATTCTTTTTGGAACTTTTCTTGGACTGAGGGCGTGGAAAGGTCTCGCCACCTCTATGACCAGAAGCATCTGGTTTATCCATAGAGGATCCCTCAGGATTGGATAGATCCTCTGATCTGTCCGCACTGTACAATTGTAGATTGATATCAGAAGTAACAGCATGTGATGTATGAGAAGATTCAACTGGATCACAAAGATCTGTAGATCTATCATAAAAGTGAGGTATGGAATGCAAATGCTCAGTAACGGGATTGTTCTGGGAATATTGTTGGATATTATCTTCTACATTATAAGCCATTGGTGAAAAAAGATCTTCCTCTACGCCGGCATCCCAACCATCGTGTTCATCTGTTGGAAAGGAACGTATTTATTAATACTAAAAGTAAATACATTTCCCATTATTTGCCTCAGGCGCCAGCAGTCCATAACTTCACATGGAATCGGGTACAGATCTAACATAAAGTAAACAATACAAAGAAACCAACCCGGAGAAACGGTGAACATATGTCCACTATACTGAGGAATGGAGATGGACCTTCATATGGTGTACAGTATCTCCTCATTTGTTGGTCACATGACGTTATATTGAAGAATGGAGATGGACCTTCATATGGTGTACAGTATCTCCTCCCCATTTGTTGGTCACATGACGTTATATTGAAGAATGGAGATGGACCTTCATATGGTGTACAGTATCTCCTCCTCATTTGTTGGGGACATGACGTTATATTGAGGAATGGAGATGGACCTTCATATGGTGTACAGTATCTCCTCCTCATTTGTTGGGAACATGACGTTATATTGAGGAATGGAGATGGACCTTCATATGGTGTACAGTATCTCCTCATTTGTTAGTCACATGATGTTATATTGAGGAATGGAGATGGACCTTCATATGGTGTACAGTATCTCTTCCCCATTTGTTGGTCACATGACGTTATATTGAGGAATGGAGATGGACCTTCATATGGTGTACAGTATCTCCTCCTCATTCGTTGGGGACATGACGTTATATTGAGGAATGGAGATGGACCTTCATATGGTGTACAGTATCTCCTTCTCATTTGTTGAGGACATTACTTTATATTGAGGAATGGAGATGGACCTTCATATGGTGTACACTATCTCCTCCTCATTTGTTGGTCACATGACGTTATATTGAGGAATGGAGATGGACCTTCATATGGTGTACAGTATCTCCTTCTCATTTGTTGGGGACATGACTTTATATTGAGGAATGGAGATGGACCTTCATATGGTGTACAGTATCTCCTCCTCATTTGTTGGTCACATGACGTTATATTGAGGAATGGAGATGGACCTTTCCTTCGCTAAACTCAGTGAAAGGAAATAGAAAATATCAATGGTTTCCATCTTTAGTGTTTATTACTCGCCTGTGCTGTCATCTAGAGCAGATTCCTCTTCATTAATTGTCACCATTATCCCATCCTCCTCCATAGACTGCTGAACGCCCTTCACAAATGTATCTTCTTCGTCTTCCTCTGTAATCTCCACTTTCATGTCTTTCAGTTCTTCATCCTAAAACCACAAAAGGTCATAGAAAGTAAAATATTAAATTCAAGAACGCTACTAAACCGAGAAAGAAGCATACAATCTGAATTTACAGAGACTTCTGAGCTCTATATCCTCAGTCTCATCTACCTGATCCTGGTGAGGGACGGTGTGATCCTCCTGTGTGGAATCCCGGGAATACAGAGGACGGGTCCTAGGGATCTCATGATGTTCCTGTGTGGAATCCCGGGAATACAGAGGACGGGTCCTAGGGATCTCATGATGTTCCTGTGTGGAATCCCGGGAATACAGAGGACGGGTCTGAGGGATCTCCTGATTTTGCTCCGTGGAATATCGGGAATACAGAGGACGGGTCTGAGAGATCTCATGATGTTCCTGTGTGGAATCCTGGGAATACAAAGGACGAGTCTGAGGGATCTCTTGATTTTGCTCCGTGGAATATCGGGAATTCAGAGGACGGGTCTGAGGGATCTCATGATGTTCCTGTGTGGAATCCCGGGAATACAGAGGACGGGCCTGAGGGATCTCATGATGTTTCTGTGTGGAATCCCCGGAGAACAGAGGACGGGCCTGAGGGAACTCCTGATGTTCCTGTGTGGAATCCCCGGAATACAGAGGACGGGCCTGAGGGATCTCATGATGTTTCTGTGTGGAATCCCCGGAGAACAGAGGACGGGCCTGAGGGAACTCCTGATGTTCCTGTGTGGAATCCCCGGAATACAGAGGACGGGCCTGAGGGATCTCATGATGTTTCTGTGTGGAATCCCCGGAGAACAGAGGACGGGCCTGAGGGATCTCATGATGTTCCTGTGTGGAATCCCGGGAATACAGAGGACGGGTCTGAGGGATCTCATGATGTTCCTGTGTGGAATCCCTGGAATACAGAGGACGGGTCTGAGGGATCTCCTGATTTTGCTCCGTGGAATCCCGGGAATACAGAGGACGGGGACATCTCTCTGGTGGGTTCCTCTTACTGGATCCATCTGTAGGAAACACACACACTGACTGAATACATTGTTTCTATGTGTGTATCAGATGATGGGGGATCTAGGTGGGCCCTCCGTACTGCTCTCTCCTCTTACCCGGTGATGTGAGGGTCGGCTCATTCTCCATCACGGCATCCTTGTAGAGATCCCGGTGTCCTTCTAGATACTCCCACTCCTTCATGGAGAAATAGAGAGAGACATCCTGACACCTTATAGGAACCTGACACACACAATGATACAGTCACCACCCAGACACATCCCTTGTCTGTTCCTGGATCATGTCCCAGAACTCCCGGCACCGCTCACCTCTCCTGTCAGCAGCTCAATCATCTTGTTGGCGACCTCCACAATCTTCTTGAAGCTGATACCCTCAGTCTTCAAAGAGTGAGGATGGGGAGATTCTGTGATTGCAGGTGCTACATAGTGATGGCTTGTAGTTGTCCATGGCTCACCTGAAGTCTTCTTCACTACTTCATAATCCTGTGTAAAGAAAGGGTATTATCAATTGTTATGATGTACCTTCCCAGAATCCTCCTCACCTCCCCAGTCAGGTCTGTATTTTATTCATAGAAATAAGAGTGATGTCATGTGACCTCCCAGAATCCTCCTCACCTCTCCAGTTACCAGGTAGATGACCTCCAGGGTGAGATTTAATATCCTCTCGGTCAGGTGACTCTGGTTCTCATCTATCTTTGGTCTTGTGGTTCCTACAGGACGCGCCTCTCCGTAGATCGATAATAAAAGTGATCTGGACTGTAGAACTGGGAATGGGAACATATCATAGATTAATGATAATCCTGCTCCTGCTGTGATTGGTTAGTTTGTCATATGTTGCTTTAAGAACATCTCCCAGTTGGGCCCATTTTGCTTTATGTTTGAATAATAATAATAATAGCGTCCTTCCGTTCACCCAAAGCTCAGTATATAGTGAGCTACGGCTCGCGGTATACTGAGACCTCCTCGGATGGCCGCCGGCAGTAGATCTGCCTTATGGTGGGCCCTCATGGTGCAGAGCAGGTTATGGTGGCATAAAGGGCAGCTTTCTATATGTCTCACATGTATCTTTAATTACCAGGTGGGCTAGCAGGTTTCCATCGGTACCGTTTGTCTGGCTGACAGGTTCGTCGGTTGTGCAAGGCTGCACAAAGAGAAGCGATGGCGCGGCTGCACGAGGGTTGGCTCCTCCCCCTTGGCGTCTGACGTCATTACCGGCTGCTCTGCTATTGGCGGCCGGGAGGGGGAGGCGGGGCTAGCTCCTGGGCACAGTAGGAGGCAGCGAGCGGCATCCCCTGTTGCCTGGCAACGAATTTGTCTCTGGGTACCATTCTGGCTTTGGTAAAAGCTGGTCACTGGATGGTCTCTATAGACCTGGCCGATGCCTACCTGCATATTCCCATATTTTTGGGGCATCAGCGTTTCCTACGTTTTGCGGTGGGCGCCAGACACTTCCAATTTCAATGTCTACCCTTTGGCCTGTCCACGGTCCCAAGGACTTTTTCCAAGGTTCTGTCGGCCCACATAGCCCTTCTGCGGATATCAGGAATACAGATCTATCATGACCTGGACGACCTGCTGCTTCTCGCCTCCTCCGCCAGTCAAGCTTCCAGACATCGAGATCAGATGCTCCATTCCCTGGCGAAGTTTGGATGGCTGGTAAACACAGAATAGAGTTCTTTGATTCCATCCCAATGTCTCGAATACCTGGGAATTCGGTTCGACACTGCGATTGCGAGAGTTTTTCTTCCCCTGAGGAAAATTTCACTAGTCCAGGAACACTCAGACGAAGTCCGCGGCTATCGGCAAGGCAAGCTATGAGTTTTTTAGGCCTCCTGGAGTCAACGGTACCAGTGGTACCTTGGGCAAGATGGCACAAAAGGCGATTCCAGGCCAATTTTTTGGATCAGTGGGATCACTTGTCCCTTACCCAGCAGATTCATCTTCCTCCAGTGGTTCGCCTATCTCTGGCATGGTGGACGGATGCGTTCAACCTTTCACCCGGCAAGACTCTGGGGGAAGTGGACTGGCTAATTGTCACTACCGATGCCAGCTGCAAAGGCTGGGGAGCGATGTGCGGGCGGCACACAGTGCAAGTCAATGGGTGGGGCAAGTCCCGACGAGTTCCAATCTTCTGGAATTGGCGGCAATTCGGGAGGCCCTAGTAGCATTCGCTCCTATCCTTCGACATCGGCCTGTCAAGGTGATGTCAGACAACAAAACTGCGGTGGCCAATGTTTCCAATCAAGGGGGCATCGAGTTGGCAGCTGCTGAGGATTTCATCCCAGATCTTCCTGTGGAGAGAGAACAACCTTCAGGATCTGACGGCTTGTTACCTTCCAGGGTCCGAAAATATCGAAGCGGACACACTGAGTCGGAGGCTGCTGGACCACAACGAATGGAGCCCCAAGGACTTTTTCCAATCTTCTGTCGGCACACATAGCCCTTCTGCGGATATCAGGAATACAGATCTATCATTATCTGGACGACCTGCTGCTTCTCGCCTCCTCCGCCAGTCAAGCTTCCAGACATCGAGATCAGATGCTCCATTCCCTGGCGAAGTTTGGATGGCTGGTAAACACAGAATAGAGTTCTTTGATTCCATCCCAATGTCTCGAATACCTGGGAATTCGGTTCGACACTGCGATTGCGAGAGTTTTTCTTCCCCTGAGGAAAATTTCACTAGTCCAGGAACACTCAGACGAAGTCCGCGGCTATCGGCAAGGCAAGCTATGAGTTTTTTAGGCCTCCTGGAGTCAACGGTACCAGTGGTACCTTGGGCAAGATGGCACAAAAGGCGATTCCAGGCCAATTTTTTGGATCAGTGGGATCACTTGTCCCTTACCCAGCAGATTCATCTTCCTCCAGTGGTTCGCCTATCTCTGGCATGGTGGACGGATGCGTTCAACCTTTCACCCGGCAAGACTCTGGGGGAAGTGGACTGGCTAATTGTCACTACCGATGCCAGCTGCAAAGGCTGGGGAGCGATGTGCGGGCGGCACACAGTGCAAGTCAATGGGTGGGGCAAGTCCCGACGAGTTCCAATCTTCTGGAATTGGCGGCAATTCGGGAGGCCCTAGTAGCATTCGCTCCTATCCTTCGACATCGGCCTGTCAAGGTGATGTCAGACAACAAAACTGCGGTGGCCAATGTTTCCAATCAAGGGGGCATCGAGTTGGCAGCTGCTGAGGATTTCATCCCAGATCTTCCTGTGGAGAGAGAACAACCTTCAGGATCTGACGGCTTGTTACCTTCCAGGGTCCGAAAATATCGAAGCGGACACACTGAGTCGGAGGCTGCTGGACCACAACGAATGGGCCCTGAGTCATTCTGTTCAGACTCCAATTTTCAATCTCTGGGGCCAACCGGACATCAATCTTATGGCCACGATGGAAAACCACAGGCTTCCAAGATTCTTCTCTCGCCTATACGACCACAGGGCACTAGCACAGGATGCGCTGGCTCAGAGGTGGAACTTCCACTTAGTGTACGTGTTTCCGCCGTTTTGCATGATCCTGAGGGTGCTTCTCAAGATTCAGAGGGAGCAAGTAGACGCAATTGCGATACTTCAATTTTGGCCGAGTCGTCCATGGTTCCCTCCTTTGTGGCAGATGAGGATAGTCGATCCACTCCCTCTCCCGTTGACCTCGGATCTTCTGGAACGAGGGGTATTCCGTCACGCGAACCTGGCCCGCTTACACCTTATGGCCTGGAGACTGAAAGGAATCGGTTAGAGGGCTTGCAGATCTCAGTGTCAGTGATCCAGACCCTCTTGAGGGCTAGGAAGGGTTCGACTAACGTGACATATTCCCAAGTGTGGACCAGGTTTACTGAAATGGCAAAGCAAAATTATTTTGAACCCTCAGATCTTCCAGTGGGCAAGATCTTGAAATGTCTGCAATAGGGATTGGATGGGGGGTTAAGCTTCAACACCCTGAAGGTACACGTGTCGGCACTAACGGGACGGAAGTGGTCGGCTAATCCATTGGTGGTACAGTTTCTGAAGGCAGTAGGGGAGATTCGACCGCCTCGGAAAGCATTCTTTTCCAAATGGGATCTCCCATTGGTGCTAAAAGCCCTTCTTCAGAACCCGTTTGATCCTATACAATCCTGCTCTCTGTGGCATCTTACACTGAGGATGAAATTCCTGTTGGCTATTGCTTCAGCGCGGAGGGTTTCAGAGTTGCACGCCCTGTCTATGTAGGAGCCGTTCTTAGTTCAACTTCCTAACAGTATCCTGCTGAGGCCAGTACCTTCATTCCTTCCAAAAGTGTAATCTAGTTTCCATCTGAATTAGGAGATCGAGCTCTCCACATTTCCCGCTTCGGGAGTTTCTGAGATGGTTGAGTTGCAGTGGAAGAAGTTGGACCTGGTGGAGAATCTTTCCGCATACTAGCAGAGGACCGCATCTTTTAGGAAGGACAAGAATTTGTTATTTTTCCGAGTGGCTCAAAGAAGGGTTTGGCGGCCCCTCCGAGGATTCTTTCATCATGGATAGTGAAGGCCATTTCGTTGGCTTACAGGGTCGTGGGTCTTTCCCCTCCCCATGACCTAAAGGCTCATTCCACAAAGGCGATTGGCTGCTTCCTTAGGCAACCTATGCGAGGGTGCCGGTGGATACCATCTGCAGAGCGGCAAGTTGGAACACGCCAAACATGTTTATGCGACACTATAAGCTGGATGTTAGATTTGGGGCCGAAGCCTCTTTAGGAGTAGCAGTTCTTACAGCTGCTCTTTCTAATTAAAAAAAAATATGGCAGTTATGATCCGGTTTGTGACTGTTTATTGGGGGTTTTTCCCTCTCTAGTGTATTGCTTTTAAATCCCATCGTAGGCTGGCATGAGGAGGGAGCCAGGAAAACGGAAAATTTTATACTTACCTTTCGGTAATTTTCCTGGCTCCTCCTCATGTCA